AGGGATAAATCTAATGATCTCATGGAAAGATAGGCAAGTAAAACGAGGTTCATATAATTTAAATAATAATGGGAAATCTGATGTGTGTTAAGGGCTCATGGGTACATTAGCTGTTGGGGCACTAAGAGATTTATTGCAATGGAACGTGTGTGAAATATATATATATATATATATATATATATATATATATACACACAGATTGCACATTGTGTAAATTGTGTTGCTGTTTAGATTCAGGAAACACACAAAACATATCCTTATATTTCATTCCTGCCTGTGGAGTGATACTCATAGTGCACATTTAAGTGAGGTTTTATTTTGTGATGCTCTGTGATATTCTCATGCACACATTGTGAGGGTTATGGATTAAAGTAGAATTAAAGTAAGAAAACAGAATTGACGTAGAGAATTTTCTCACTTTAAAATCACTTTGAATTCCTGTCAAGTCTACAGTATATTTACTGTACACAGAGTTATTTAGGACTGAGCGTTAAGACAGACATGCACACATCACCCGTGATCATCTGAGCAAGTTATTTTAGAGTTTCCATACTCCTGTCATGTACTTTTTGATTTTAGCCATTCAGTTCACTTCAGACAGACTAAATTCCAGGACTACATTAAATATATTTCAGAATATGGACATTGATAAAACTGAGAACAATGCCCATATTTTGCAGTCCAGGTTCCGAAATGTTACTGGATTAATTGTGCTTGTCTGCATTGAAGGCATTTTGGACTTTAGAGAATAAATTCCTATTAAGTGTGCCATGTCACACTTGCTGATCAAGGTAGGTTCTCTGCCAATCAAAAAAGCCAAGAGTAAAGCTCTAACCCATCTAACTCTACAGTCCAAAGTCTTGTGGAACTTGTGTTCCATTCATTTTGTTTTCCTGTTATTTTCATGCACTGTATTTGATTTTTGCATTACAAATGTTTCTTCTATTTAGTGGTGGGCTTGATTAGACTTCCTTTCTTTCTCGGTGGTACTATGTGATGAAACCAATCTTCTTCGAGAGTGAAAGATTTCCCAATAGGAGCTGAATTCACCCATGCACATTACGTATCTGTGTCACCATTCCTACTTATAGAAACATTTGCTTGTCTGAGATCATTTCCTGGAGGTCTGCTGTCCCAGTAGCTGCTGCTATGTGGCAATCCAATTCCCAAGAATAACACTGGTTTTCTGCAAACATTCTACACAAGATTGATTTGACATATTACCTTCTCAAATACTTGGAGCTTGATCACCACCTTCCTTTTTTAAGTAACAGTTGTTCTATCCAAAAACTATAAATGAAATATATGCAAAACACACAGTGGGACCAACTAAGGCTGGTAGATTTACATCTCCTTGTTATTGATGACCTTTCAAACATCTCTTGAGAATTTACTTTACTGATATTTCAGTCTAAAGTTAACAAGTCATCAATAACGTGAGGATAATTAACTTATCTCAAGTCAGCTAAATAACCTTTCCTATTCACATAGGTATCAATCTAATTCCATCAGAACAATGATTGCTCAAATCATTAATGCAAACAGTAAGATAGGAATATAGAATAAAATGATAGCCACTTTTGCAATATTTAAAATATTCTTGCTATCATAAAATATGCATGATGTTTCTGTAAGTCGTGGAAGCCTGGTCTACAGCTATTAGTGCTCCTTGGCTTCTATACAGTCAGCAGACCCATTAGTAAAAAACATAATTATATCATAAATATTTCATACTCATTTCAAGGACAGCTACAGATTAAGCATTCATCATAAACTGATAAGTAAGCAGGGATGAACACACAACTCGGAAGATAACACAGTTTTCAGGAAATTATTCACAAGTTTAACAAATTTTGTTGAAGGTATTGCAAATAGTATACCTTCTAGTTTGAGTTTGTCTTTGTTTCCGATGATGCTCATTAGTGCTGCTGCAAATGGATCTTAATTTTTGGATCCATAAAAGAAAAGTAAAAGTCAATTTACCTCAAATAAATATGTGAAGTGCAACTTGAGTTCTAGGGTATTATGTTAGTCTGCTATGAACTGTAAATAAAAAAAAACAAAAAAACAAGACAAATGTTGAATATGGAACATGTTAATACAAGCTACTTCTTTTATTCAGCACATCAGCAAGTTAGAGGATTTTTTAGTCTTTAATGTAAAGATGTCCTTCGACCCATTTGGCTTTCATTGCAGATGTCAAGCATTAAAGATCTCAGGAGATTCAGCTTTTAACCTAGGTTCTCCTGTCTTTTTAGAATATCTAGACTAGAGAAAGAGTCATGGTATGCTTTGCCTTGACTTCAGGGATCACCTTTGACACTCTTATCTAAGTGCATTTCTCTACAGAAATTTTTTTATTTATGACGATAAACTGGGCAAGTCACAATTTTATGTGCTTACAGATAGCTCTACTTAGAACTATTGGTAGGAAAAAAAAATCACAAACCCTTGTTTAAATAGCAATTCAAACCCATTTAGCAAACAAGTGCCAATCTTTGTCTTGTTGTTTTTCCATTGAGGCACGTCTTATTTTTATTTATTTTAAAGTTTATACTCTAATAATTAATGAAGATTGCTATTGCTGGTGATCATTAAAATGAAAACTAATTAGTAGTCTGTTCTTGTTACGTCTCATTTCTAAATAAATTAGCCTTTAGGATATTTTATTCCAGTTGTCCTTTATCTATATTTCACCTGTTGTATCCAACCAAAACTATTAGCTGTTGATTCCGAACTTGAAACTGATTTCTGCACAGCCAAACATATCTTGACTGGAATAATAGTTTACATTTGTTCCATTGCATGTCACCTCCTTAATGCAACATAGTCTACTTCATTTCAATGAGAACGTCTTAAGAGCATGCAGCCACTGCTAATGGCATCTATGTCTTAGGCAGTTAAAAAAACAATAGCGCACCAAATAAAAAGACCATGCAGTAACACAATAAATCTACTGATGACGTTAATTTTTTCCTTGTTTCCATTAGGTTTTGACACCCATAACAGTTTATATAATTAATTAAGTTTTTTTTTTTTTTTTTTAAACTGGCTGGTTAATGTCACAGAGGACGACACTAGAACACATGTAAACATTTGGTTTATGACAATGGCTGTCTACTTATTTTGGGGAATTTATAAAAGCTTTTCATAAAGATCTGAAAGTGGAACAACTGATACATTTCTGTGCGGTTTTCATGTTGCTAGGATTAAAATGAGGGGTTGTATCTAATACAACATCAAATTAAGCATATATGAATGTGTTGAATAGACCACGTATTCAGGGTGAGCAAATTAAACAAATGATGAGGTCCCTTGCTGCTCTGTATTTTATTGTGTCTTCTTCTTGCTTGCAAATATGTAAATTCTCATATTTGCATGAACAGGAGCAATAAATACACAGGAGTGTTTAACAATGCACTGTGCATTTAAACTCGACGTGTACCAGTACCTCAAGCAATCACGTTTTTGTTCAGTAACATTAACAATGCTAATATCTGTAATATGATTGCATACATAGCGAGTAATCAGAAAAGGATGATTTCTATAAATGGCAATCAAAGTGGCCTGTGGTAAATAATAATTCAAATATTGTTAAGTTATGGAGCTAAGTTTAATTGTTACTGGGATAAACAAAACACTCCTAAGGACTGCATGAGATTAACACTAAACCAAAAACTGCCTGTTATCCAGTAGATAAAGCAGGGCTAAATACAGTGGGACCTCGGTTTACAAATTTAATGCGTTCTCCGGGATGTTTCGTATTGCGAAAAATTCGTAAACCGAAACACGGTTTCCTATAGGAATGCATTGAAAACCAATTAATGCGTTCCGGAGGCGAGAAAAAAGTCAAATAAAGTATTTTATCTGTTCAAAACTCTTTATAAAGTGCACTTTAAAGGCATAAATACTGTACAGGGACATGATTAATCAAGCAATAAAATTTCAAACATCTACATTTATGTTTTAAAACATCACACATCAACTTTTAAAACATGGCAGACTGTTGGTAACATGGTACAGTACACTTCAACTGTACATAAATCACACGTCAACAGGAAAACATGGAAAATTTCAAAACAATTTTAACACTTTTTGGAAGATGAGGAGGACGAGGGCAATTGGGCAGCACTAACACAAGCAGGTTCTCCTTCATGTCTAGGCTGTTTTTGTAGGAACCTTTCCATTGTCTGCTGCCTCTGGCACCTTTTAAGCATCCCTCGGAAAGGGGACATGTCTGTGTCAAAACTGCTCACAAGTCTGCGGGCTAGAGCCTTATCTGGGTGGTGCTGCTGTACAAAAGTCTGTAGGTTTACCCACATTTGGCATGCCTCCTTGAGTTCCGTGGAAGAGAGCTGTTCCTCACTCATTTCCTCCTCCTCCTCAAATGCGGTCTGCTCCTCCATCGGCTCCTTCTGCAATTCCACCAGCTCCTCGGTGGTTATGTCATGGTCGTGTTCCTCCACCAGCTCATAGACATCCTCCTCAGTCACCTTCAGGCTCATGGTCCTCCCCAAGGAAACAATTTCCTCCAACACTGTTGACTCTGGTGCAGGTGCAAAAGCACTGGAGGCAGGTTTCACAAACAGTCTGGCCACAGGTTGCGCCAAGCAGAATTTAGGTTTGTCTGGCTGACCCAGGCCCAGGAAATGGTGATAATCTGCAGACAGCTCACAATATCAAAATGCTCTCTCCAAAATTCATGGAGGGTGAGGTTTGAGTGATCTGTCATCTCAAAGCATCGCCGGAAAAGCTCCCTTGTGTAGAGTTTTTTTTAAATTGGAGATGACCTGCTGGTCCATTGGCTGGAGTAGTGGGGTGGTGTTAGGCGGAAGGAACATGACCTTGATGAAATTAAAGTCCTCCAGCAAGTCTTCCTCGAGACCTGGAGGATGGGCAGGAGCATTGTCCATGAGCAGCATGGCCTTGAGTGGCAGGTTATTGTCCACAAGGTACTTCTTCACAGCTGGACCAAAAACCGCATTGACCCATTTTACAAACTAGAGGTGTGTGACCCAAGCCTTTGGGTTAGACTGCCACACAACGCTCAACTGCTTCTTGTTCACCTTGTGTTTCTTGAAGGCCCGTGGGTTCTCTGAATGGTAAACAAGCAGGGGCTTGATCTTAAGGTCTCCACTGGCGTTGGCGCAGAACAGGAGGGTGAGACGGTCGTTCATCAGCTTGTGGCCAGGCAATGAGGTCTCCTCTTCTGTGATGAAGGTACGCTTTGGCATCCTCTTCCAGAAGAGTCCAGTCTCGTCGCAGTTGAAGACCTCCAGGAACTCCGTAGCAAATTCCTCAGCTGCAGCACCATCGGAACTTGCAGCCTCTCCATGCCTGACCACACTGTGGATGCCAGATCTGGTCTTGAACCTTTCGAACTATCCCTGCTGGCCTTGAAGCCTTCTGCATCTTCTTACTTCTTGACCTCCTCCAGAACAGGTGGCCGTTGCCTGGAGACCCTGGTGACTCCCTTAGCTGCATCTCTCCCAGTTATCTTCTCTTTCATTTTTAGGATTGTACCGATTGTGGATGCACTCCTTCCATACTCTTTGGCAAGGTCAGTCAATCGCATTCCTCCTTCATGCTGCCTGATGATTTCTTTCTTGTCCTCAAGCAGAATCATCTCCTTCTTCCTCTTCCTCTTCCCAGCTTCCGCTGCTTTCTTGGGTGCCATGACACCACCGTCACTAAGTATGCAAAAAAATAATAATTCTTTACACCCACATGAGCTGGCATGGAAACCACAGTAAAAGGCATGCACTGCACATGAGCTGTAACAGGCATGCACAGCACATGAGCTGGCATGGAAAACAACCCCACATTGCAAAACACACAGTACAGTACTGTAACAGGCATGCACAGCATATGAGCTGTGACAGGCATGCACAGCACATGAGCTGGCATGGAAAGCAAACCCACAATGCAAAACACACAGTAACAGGCATGCACAGCACATGAGCTGTAACAGGCATGCACAGCACATGAGCTGGCATGGAAAACAACCCCACATTGCACAGCACATGAGCTGTAACAGGCATGCACAGCACATGAGCTGTAACAGGCATGAACAGTACATGAGCTGGCATGGAAACCACAGTAAAAGCCATGCACAACACATGAGCTGTAACAGGCATGCACAGCACATGAGCTGGCATGGAAAACAACCCCACAATGCAAAACACACAGTAACAGGCATGCACAGCACATGAGCTGGCATGGAAATCACCCCACAATGCAGAACACACAGTAAAAGGCATGCAAACAACTAAGCTCAGCTCCCTACCTTTCCACCTCTTGAGATGCACCAAAAAGGCTCCAAAACATGGGGCAAATGGCTCCAAATGGCTCCACAACTTGCTGCAAATGGCTCCAAAAGGCTCCACAACTTGCTTAAAATGGCTCCAAAATCTCTCCAACACCTCCACACTCACATGCTACCCAAACTCCAGTATGCAGGGAGCAGAGCTATAAACCGGGACACTTGTTTCGTATTGCAAAAAAAATTCGTAAACCGAGGCATTTTTTTTAATGAATTTTCATTCGTAAACCGAATTTTTCGTTTACAGAGGCGTTCGTTAACCGAGGTTCCACTGTATTTAAAGTTGTCTTCTGATATCCAGACAGAGCTGCTTGCCACCATCAATGTGTTACAATGTTTATGTGAAAGGTTCACTCCAAGACCCATAACCCCTACAGCATGCTGTAGTAGGTATGGTGCCAGTAGTGTCCTTAGCAACGTCCCATGTAAGTAGTCAAACCGTTTCAAAACAGTTTGACATCTTACATGGGATCTGCTAGGTGCGGCTTGTTACCTCCACTGCAGCCTCCAATGCTGCAGGGATCTCTGTGCCATGGCTAAGCCTGTTGGTACAGGGCTTAGCTCACTGGCTAAGAGTGATCTGCTGAAGCACTCAACCAAATGATGGAAGCTACTAAGCATTTTAATTTCTGATCCTGTTCCTGCCACACAGGTAATATGGGAATTAACAGTGCTTGATGACATTTTCCATGTAGATGAGTTATTGGGTGATATATGATGGGAGTTTTTCAGTGGATGTTGGAAACCTTGTGAGCTAATTATGTAGACAATAACTTGGAAGATATAGACAATTGTTGCCTATATTGTCAGGTCTTGAACAATGTCTTAAAGGGTCACATTGCAGGGAAAAGATTGGCCTTGCAAATTTTAGACGTTGAATGACTCCTTGTCAAAAGCACACTGCCAGTTTATCAATCAACCAAATATTATACTTGATGGATACTCTTCTCTTAGAAAATCCATAAGTACAGTTAGACTTTTCTAGACAAAAATATTACTGCTGAGGTAAAACAAATCCCTGTAAACTATTGGCAAAATAGAAAAAGTAAAACAAAAAAAATCACACAAGTACATTTCTAGTCTCGAAGAACATAACAATACAACAATACATTTAACCGAAGGAATCAGACACTCATTTCATGCTATTTTGAATATTTGTTTACCCCAATCCCAAAATGGGAGGAGGGTATTCAATTCTTCCAATAAGCGGGCCTTACTAAAATGATGAGCACCCACAGAGGTACTTTTAATGGACATTTGATGATGTCTCTTATAAACATTTAGGCCAGGTAACGGACTCACCTTTTGATAAACAGGCTGACAAACCACCCTTTCTTCCCTGACAGAGTACTAAATCTTCCTAATTCCAAAGTCTAACAAAGATCCATTGCTGTACAACACCTATAGATCTCTAACACAGTAATATTAGGACTTACAATTCCAGACCACTTTCAGTAAATGTTCTCGGGGGTGTATCACTCACTTGAGATTGTGTTAGTCAACGTACTCATTGCCTTCTCATACAAGTAAATAACACATATGTACTTCTCCATATACTCATCTTCTTATGCTTCTCAAAGCTATAGAGACACCATGATCTCACTCCTTACTGGCTCTGATTGTGATATTTCTCTTGACAGACTAATCCTGGCCACAGCTCCTGATAAAGTGTTGGTGAGCCTAATATACTTTTATATTAATTGACCATTCATACAAAACAACCAAGTAGTTATTCCACTTGCCTAATATTTCTTTAGGAGACATACAAAAAAGCTTCAATAATTCTATTTATAATGCTGTCTGTGACTAAATTTTAAGAGATGCATCTAAAAATTAAGCATCAAGACAATTTTTTAATCAAAAGTCAACATGTCATACAGCTGAGACCCATCAAATACATCAAACGCAGATACAAAGGAGTGGGTTAGGTTCACTGCTATTGATGCTGCCCATGATTAGTGGTTTCTGAAGTCTAGTGGTGCTAATGATTAGGGGTTTCTGAAGTCTAGTATCTTAAGAACTTGGTGTTCTTTTCTTTTTGGATCTTTGCAGTAGAATACTCGAACAGGACATTGAAAAAATAGCAAATGATTACAGATAGTCCTTGCGGTAGCCAATGGAATCGCAACCAGGTCCCCCAGTATCCATTCGTTTGCATTGAGCTTGGAATGTTTGACTGCCTTTTTATCCCACAAGAAAAGTATGAGAAAATATTTCCCTCTATGAAGAATTTACATAAACCCATTAATTTCAGCTCCTAAAAAAAGTCAAAATTAAAATTACTTTTGCTTATACAAACCCATTTCAGTTACGGTAAAGGCACTGTTTCACATTGTCTCTCTGTTTTATTAGCTTTGTCACTCTTCCTCTTTTATTCAGCCTTGCAGCTCAGGAGTTGATGTACATGTTTGACAGTCTATTTATGCTCCCTCAATCTCTCAATCCTGAAGAGAAAATTTGATTGTTTTTTCTTTTTAAATTATTATTTTGAAAGTAGTTTTTTTGTGAGTTTAAAGGAAGGGTGTTTAGGGGAAATAAAAGGTAGGAATTTACATTGCAGTATGTATAGCTACTTGCCAGACCAATTTATCATAATAGTAGATTATTTTTCTACATGCTTTTTTCAATTAGTCTCTACACTGACTCTATACTGAGTCAGTTTCTCTCATTATATTCACCTGCTGACTGTCTTTTTACATTTCTGTGGTGTTTGTGTTTAGCTGTAATTTTTAGGGATGTGCATGGGCAAAATATTTGGTTTGGCTCGGCATTCCAAAATTAGGGACTTCGGCACTTTGGAACTTCGGTTCGGCATTCCGAAATTCAGGACTTCAGCACTTTGGTTCAGTTTGGGACTTTGGAACTTTGGCAATTTGGAACTTCAGTAATTTGGATGTTCTCTTGCAGCCGCTTAGTAGATAACTCCCTAATTTCCACAGTATTAGGGAGCTATCTAGCAAAAGGTTGAAAGAGCTAAACTAATCTTTCAGTGAAATTTACTAATACTAAGTAAAGATTACTTAGTATTAGTAAATTCTGCACCTACTCGCTATACCACGAGTAGGGGCATGTCTCGTAAACAGTGAGAAGACTGTGGCTGCTCACTGTTAACAAATAAAAAATTTTTTTAAAAACAAACAAAAAAAAACCTTAAGTGTCCCCCCTATTGCCCCCCCAGCCCCCACCCCTGAGTGGTGGGTGCGAGCCCTAAATTAGAATAAGGGGGGGACCTATTGTCCTCCCCCCTGGCCCCCACCCTTGAGCGGCCGGTGGGGGCCCTAATTACCAATAAGGGGGAGGACCTATTGTCCTCCCTCCTGGATCCCACCCCTGAGGCCCTAAATTAGAATAATGTGGGAAACTTACCTTTTTCCAGCGCTGGGCGGAGAGCTCTCCTCCTCCGATCCTCCTCTTCTCCTCCCCGTCGGCTGAATGCGCACGCGCAGCAAGAGCTGCACGCGCATTCAGCCGGTCACATAGGAAAGCATTCATAATGCTTTCCTATGGACGCCGGCGTGCTCTCACTGTGAAAATCACAGTGAGAAGCATGCAAGCGCCTCTAGCGTCTGTCAATGAGACAGCCACTAGAGGAAATAGGGGAAGGCTTAACCCATTCATAAACATAGCAGTTTCTCTGAAACTGCTATGTGTATGAAAAAAATGGGTTAACCTTAGAAGGACCAGGCACCCAGACCACTTCATTAAGCTGAAGTGGTCTGGGTGCCTAGAGTGGTCCTTTAAGGACCGTTTTTTGTCGGACGTACCCTGCACGTCCTTAGTTGGGAAGGGGTTACAAATATTATTTTTATTATAATCTACTTATAGCAATATTAAAGTGAGGAGATAGCATGGCTAAAATAAATAAAAACAATTGTGAAAAATTATTCTTTTTTCTTTAGGAAAATATATAAATATGCAAATACTCAAACACACACTCATAAATTTAATTTTTTCATCATGGGTGACTTTAATGTTCCTCAAGTGAACTGGAAAACCAAAATAGCTGCTTGTGCCAGGAGCACAAATATTCTACACTACCTACTGGAATTGTCTCAAATTAGCCAACTCGTAATGAGGCCATACTAGATTTAGTGTTAACAAATGGAGATTTGATATCAGATATTAGTGTAGGTGAAAGTTTAGGATCCAGTGATCATCAGTCAGTGGTCACACCACACAAAAACCAATGTTTTATACTTTAGATTAACTGACTTTTCTAAAATTAGAATATGTGTAAAGGAGTCACTGGAGCAATCTAAATGGAGTCCAAGAGAAATGGGATTATTGAAAAGTTGCACTACTAAAGGCGACAGAAAATTGCATTAGGCTTGTCAATAAAAGTAAAAAAGTAAAAA